TTTCTTTACAGATAACATTTCCTTCATCGTATTCTACATACAAATGTTGTGCGACTCAGGAATGGATCGTTGAAAGTTGGAATTCATACGGCCAAATGCTTCCGAACCAAAAATAGGAATGTTAAAATTACCGTATGAAAATGTACACAACGGACCCATGACACCAAATGGCATGTTCCAATTTCAGTGGCGAAATGACGAATACACGTGGAAAACACTCGAATTTGGTTCCATTAAGTGCTAATTTGACACCAAGTCCAAGATCAACAAAAATCTTGATTTATCGGTGAGTAAAGATAATTTCATTTAATTGTTCGAAACTCTGCAAATATTTTTTTAAGTAAAATCGACATTTTCAAACATTTTTTAAACAATTTCATTTATATTTCTTTTATTTTATATCAACAGATCACATTGCCTTTCATCGTGTCTCATTGAAAACGACCCAGGCAAGAATCGACTGGCAATACTGGATGATGTGTGTTGGCTACCGTTTTCTGATAACAACAAAAAATGAACTCTTAATCATCGAATAACCCGCTATGTGTAGTAGATGAACATTGCAAAAGCTATGGACACTTCAGCATGTTTCGTATAAATAATAGCAACTACGTTTATATCAACATCAACGTATCTACACTGTAGATTCTACAGATGCCAAGCAACAACTCCGAATTCACTCACAAATTGGAAATAATTTAAGCATTTTGAAACAATAACTCTTTAGACTAAAATCATTTTTAAATTCCCAATTTTTCTCATATGTTAAAAATACATGGTGCCCATTTGTAGTTCCATTGCAATTTGATTGTTTTCAATTAAATCATATTCAAATTTCAAGAAAGTTTCTATTCACAAAGCAAGTCAAATTAATGATTAATTTTATTTTTGTCAATTCACGCAGATTTATTTTTAAGCCATCTTAAATTAGACACAAGAAAACCTTTCAAAAGTGAAACCACAAGGTGGCGATTTTTTTGCCATCATCTCTAAGTTTCTATTAATTGAAAAGTTTTCACTATTGACTGGTTTTCCTGAATTACAGTTACAATGAAATTTATTAGATTTTCTATTTAATTTTTTCAAAATAAGATTTTAAATTAATTAGATTTTTAAATAATGAATATATCACTAAGGTCATAACAATGAATTAGAACAGCATATTTTATTTTGTGAGGAACACTTTTTGAAAAATCTCTCTATTTTACTTTTTAAGATTTATTTGTGGCAAAATTCAAATCGAGAAATGATTCAGTTTTTTAAGGAGGCATATTGTACTCTTTTTACTGACAAATACTCAAATAAATGAAAGAAAATAAATTAATTACACGACTTTATTCATTTTAAACCGAATTATTTTCATATGTAGCCTCGGAAGCGACATTTAAGGTAAGAAGATCTTGAAATATATTAATTTGAATCTTTAGCTGAGCCCCAAAAGAACATGAACCAACAACGAAGAAAGAATTTGTCTGAATGGAAGATGGTTTGTATTTAAAGAGACAGCCTTCATAGTATGCACACCGCATATTTTTCAAAGCGACTCCTTGCTTACCTTTTTTCTAGTAACATTTTCTATTTTGGATATTATTTGTACGGAAAATGGTAAGTATTGCACGGTTGTGTGCGACACTTTTTCTTTATCTCCAGCCCTTTTGTATGGCAAAAATCATGCTTTCCGATTCCACCGTAGCTATGAACTATGCATTTCCATAGATATTGAACACGCTTTGGTATGTATGGCAATCTTTCAACTTATTATTGCAATCAATTAAATATAAAAAAAGTTTGATATCATCGTCGGTGTCAAAGTATGTACACCGAGAAAATATTTGAAAAAGAAAATAGAAATTAAAAAATCCTTTATTTTTAAAAAAATAACACTTATTTTTATTCATTTAAATCAAAATTGATAAACACTCTTTGTTTACATTAAATATTCAAAAACGGACGCTTTGTGTATTTGAAAATGTGTATTTTCTACCGCATTGCATTTCCTTTTACTTTGTTTTCGTGTTTATTTTGTCTACACCGGCTCTGGATGATGTAATACATAAAAAGTGATATTTGTAATGGTGTGCGTCAAGTTGTCCATGTATTCGCATGAACGTTATTCATACCAAGGGGCTGCGAACTTGTCAACAAATTAGTAAATACGATTCAATACACACACGGGAATAATGTATAGATTATTAGTATAAATGATTTTTTTTCTTAAATCTATACAAAAGTTTAGATATCTCAACAAAAATTTATTTTTTATTAAAAAAATATTTTCTCAATGTCAATAAATATTGCGATACATATTTATCAATGAGTGCCAAAATACATCATTTAATACAGCCTTTTCTCTTCACTCGAAAGAACAACAACAATTACATGGCTACACTCGAACGGCGACTATAGAGGATGCGACCACTACTTATGCAAACAACGTGTCTTGTTACATTGGAACAGCAACTATATAGAAGTCAACTACTACACATGCATCACTTCAACTGGCGAGTCAGTGGAAGCATGTAAGACACAAACGACAACGTTGTTTGCATAAGTAGTGGTTGCAATCTCTATAGTCGCCGTTCGAGTGTAGCCATGTAATTGTTGTTGTTCTTTCGTGTGAAGAGAAAAGGCTGTATTAAATGATGTATTTTGGCGCTCGTTGATAAATATGTATCGCAATATTTATTGACATTGAGAAAATATTTTTTTAATAAAAAATAAATTTTTGTTGAGATATCTAAACTTTTGTATAGATTTAAGAAAAAAAATCATTTCTACTAATAATCTATACATTATTCCCGTGTGTGTACACAAAATAAATGTCAATACTGTAAATACTTGTCAATACTGGAAATGAATGTAAATACGCGTAAATAAAAATTTCGTTTGACAATTCCTGTTGAACTGCCAAACCTAATGTCAAACTGTCTTATCGACTGAATTATTCGTACTAAAAACTCTAAAAAGTATACTTTTTGTAAACAAAAAATACAAATAAAA